AAATACCAAAATCATTCATTTTAAATGTTGTACATGAATTTATGCATCACAACAATATAACGTACAGTGGAAAACAGATATTCATTTTGAGATTTGCTAAAGATTTACATGAAAATGCACTACATGAACTGTTATTAAAAATGAACTTTAATTGAGGGTTAGATGATGGCAAAGGTAATCCAAATGTAAAAATAAGGGAAACGAGCATGCATAATTAAATATCTAATATCCACTAATACGAATATGTTTTAAAAACATTTTCGTTCATATATTAGTCAATACTGGTACCGAAATACTCTTCAAATGGGTAAAAGTAGGCTAAAACAAATAATATATGGGTAACATTACAATTACAATAAGGTTTGTTAACATGAGCTAGCAATGAACAGTTTTCTACAGAATTTATTAATCTTAATGTTAATTTCTACATTTACTAACTCATTTTTTTTAATCAAAAGTTGTATCTGTTAACATTAGTTAATGCACTGTGAGCTAACATGAACAAGCAATGAACAACTGTATTTTTTATTATCTAATATTAAAAAATATTAATAAATGCTGTAAAAAATATATTGCTCACAGTTCATGTTAACAAATGAGACTTTACTGTAAAGTGTTACCGATATGCAACTGATCTTTTTGATATTAAATGTGCAGAAAAGAATAAACAGCTTTATGTACACTTGACAAATTAATTTGGTTATGCTCAGTGGCAAAACAATAAATAAAAACATAAAATGCAAGATGCCAGTAATGGGACTTGAAGAAAGCAGGAAGAAATTCATTGTAAGGGACAGTGTGTACCACTCTGCAGGAGTGGGCAGCTTTGTAATTAAACTAGGGATTTGCAAAACTCCTTATTTTCATAATTGATAAGTCAGTCAGTTGTCTAAACAAGTACTGTGTTTGTGTTCAGGAAGCCCTGTATAATATGTCTGCATGCCCACCAGCCCCCAATCAGACATGTTTCAGACGCTAATGTACTGTAAGTGCAGCCCTTCAATAAGGCCATTCAACAAATAACTATAACCTTGTATTGAACAAAGCCACCGAAGTCCTCATGAGGAAGGTTCAATACACAGCGGCACAAAACCACTTATGTGCATCCTGGTTGCAGAATGATATACTTCAATGTAATCTCAGCACTTGGACTCATGGAATTTCCCTTGCTCAGCATTCAAAAATTAATAACTGTTAAATCAGAAATATTGTCTCTGCACAACACCTAGTTAACTGCACCAGTCTTTTTTTGACTGCAACTATTTATTAAAGCATTCATCTGCAGTAGATTCTGACAGACACCCGGAAGTGGGTTCCACACCATGAAGAATCAGACAGACTATACTGAACATAATATCCATAACACCTCAAATACAAACATATGGATTCTGTATATAAAAAAACAAAATTCAAAGAGGGTTTTACCATGCTAAAATGCTAGCATGCTAAAGCACATCACACTATAACTATGCTAAAACACTCTCTGAGAAGTTGCATCTAATCATGATTTGACATTTGTTTCCCTTTAAAGGAATGCTAAAATGACTTCTGAATGAAACTCGTACAGACCTCTGCATTAAAAAAAAAGTCAGAGTGAGAGCTCAGCTGTGCATTTCGACCAAAGTGAAAATATGATTTCAATTTACATATCTTAGATCCCTGTTGAAAAAACCAGCATATGCTGGTTAGGTATGTTTTGACGCTGGGATGCTGGTTTAAGCTGGTCCTTTGCTGGTTTATGCTGGTCATTTTGCTGGTTTATGCTGGTCCTTTGCCAGCACATGACCAGCATAAACCAGCAAAGGACCAGCTTAAACCAGCAAAGGACCAGTTTAAACCAGCAAAGGACCAGCTTAAACCAGCATCAAAACATACCTAACCAGCATATGCTGTTTTTTCAATAGGGATCTTGTTTTTTTTTAGCTTTTTAGTAAAGTTGGATAATTTTAATATAACTTATTTTAAATATTTTAAATAAAACTCATCTTGCAGCTTGAAAGTGTGCAGATTCTCCCTGGTTTGGAACCATTGCCTTAGAGGAAACATTACCGTACATGTTCACACTGTTCATTTTCATCTAGCATTGCATGAAAGACCTAATTCAGTCCTTGTTATCACACAGCTACAGGTTCAGTACAGTACAGTGAATCCAACTGCATTGCATGCCAGGCATACATAAACTGATCAACTTAGCATAAATGCCTCTCTCACACATCACGCTAAAGGTATTATCCCGAGCAGCCTGTAGACCATTTGTATTTCTCATTAATTAGCCAGGCTTAACCCTTAAATGGTGTCAGTATCCTTAGAGACTTTTGAGAGGCTGGAAGGGGGGGACAAGTGAGTGAGTGAGTAGGCCTAATTTCAGAGTAAATATATTAAAAAAGTTATTGTAAATATTCAGGTCAAACAACCTATAAAAACTATGGCATCAACTTACCACCTTTATCTAAAAGTAACATGGCAACATGCTGTGAGAAGGCCACTGACCTTGAGGTAAATGTTCCCATCTTTTACCACAGGCATATACGGGACACCCCCGCAGTGCAGGGGGCCCCCTCATGGCGTTATGAGCCAATTATAGTTAAGCTTCCCTATCTACAACCATTTTTCGCTGCATAGGAGACGCATCAAGCTGTGTGAATCCACTGATTTTTAATGTGACAGTCAGCGTTGATGCATTCACACACATTCACGATTGCTGCAAACAATGTATCACACACTCCAATGTTGATTTCTCAGATAAAAAGATGACAGAAAAATAGTATGTAGAATAGAACATATTTTAGCACAGAAAATGAAAAATAAACATAATGAGATGTTGTCCAAAATAACATCACTGTATGCCATACTATTAACTTTATTTTTAATGTAAGAGCGAGTGCTGCCATTTTTAATTTGAATGTGCAAGGCTTCCGATTTTAGTTGCTTTCAATTAGCGTATTTTAGGTTATGTTGATGGTGCAAACTATTTCATTTTTATTAATTTGCGTAATTTGTTTGTCGCCCAAAACTTTGTTATTCTGATCATTGTTTGCATATTTCTACTAATTAAATAGATGTCTGGCACATTCACAGGTAATAGCATCTGCTCTGAAAAATAAGTTTTTTTTTTTTTTGTAAATTGAAGAATGGACTTTATTTGTGGTCATTAGAGCCTTGGTTCACACAGATGAATATGTGTGAGTGCTTAGTTGGCGTGCAGGGCCTTCCAGTGGCTCAGGGGTCCACAGCTGGGGATGTACTTCACCCCACAGCCATCAGGGACCACACGCTTCTCTGCCAGCATGTTATCAAAGTCGCAGGCGTTGAACTTTGTGAATCCATACTTCTTGGAGATGTGGATCTTCTGACGGCCAGGGAACTTGAACTTGGCTCTCCTCAGAGCCTCGATCACATGTTCCTTGTTCTGGGCCTTTGTGCGCACGGACATGATCACCTGGCCAATGTGCACACGAGCCACTGTGCCCAGAGGCTTACCAAACGCACCACGCATACCAGTCTGGAGCCTATCAGCTCCAGCACAGGATAACATTTTGTTGATACGGATAACATGGAAGGGGTGCAGGCGCACGCGGATGTGGAAACCATCTTTACCGGTACGGGCAGCCTCAGCTGCTCATATTCATCAGATACCATGTGAGCGCACATGGGGAACTCATCCACCTTAGCCTTCTTCCTGCCCAAGTCGAAGATCCTGATCTTGGGATCAGGAACACCTCGACAGAAACGGGACTTCGGGTAAGGCTTGTTCTTACAGTATCTGTAGCAACGGGCTGGACGGCGGCCCATGGTTGCGATCACACACTCAGCTAATGGAGGAAAGGCTCTGAAAAATAAGGTGGATAAATAAAAACGCTCCTAATCGACGTCACAGCTTGTGAGCGGGGCCTCCTGACAAGAAGTCATTTGACATGTTATTTTTAACTCCATAGCATTTTTTTTTTTTTTAATTACGCTGCTTTATTTCAGTTCTAATGTGTGGAAAACAGCAAAGTACTATCACGTTCGTGCCTTCTAATGGATTAATACACGTGCCGTCCATGTGCGCTTCATTCCATAACAGAATTACATCAAAGGACGTCTACTCTAGTAAAATCTACTTAAAGTAGTGGTATCTGAAGAGAAATGTAAATTTCGATCAGCGTATTAGCGCAGAATATATTATCATTTGTGGCTGCAGAAGAAACGGCGCTGAAAGAGCAGTTGTGAAGACGCGTTCAACAGATGGGCGACTGCTCTTCCTCACGGCCGCAGACCTGTACGGACAAATCTTGCTTTGATTAATTAGCATAAAGCCTGGTCGGGAATGTTAATTGAAAGACAGCTGCATTGGCTTATTGACTAAACGATTATCAGTGTGTCGGTTATTGATAGAAACTGAATTCTATTTTAAGTTGCGGCGTGAAAGGCAACTACAGCGGGCGCCAAATCACAGTTGTATCACCTTCAAATAACATTACAGTCGCGCGGTGACAGTAGAGACGGTCTTTAAACGTCGATATGGACACAATATGACGAAAAATCAGACAGAACCTACAGCTGTAGGGGGAAAACGAGACGCAACCTTCAACACAATGTTTTCTACATATAGTTTTCCTTTGAGACTTACTGATTGATCATGTCACTCAAGGCAAGCTCACCATGAACGTGGTCTGGCTGGTAGCCTATAAAAAGACATTTTCTCTAAGTTAATGGTCGAGGCTTGAATAGGAAGGGCAATAGAGACCTCGATCCTGAATGCATTTCTGCTCTGAATGATGCTCATAAGTATAATACAGAGTGCACTTGATTCTGAAGACAAAAAATAGACTTAGTACAAATTCACAGACGACACTTTCACATATTCCAACTTAAAGGATCATGAAGTAAATGGATTCAAAGTGGTCGGTCTATGATAATACGCTGCTCTTTTTAGACAATTCAAATGCACAGAGAAGCAACGCATTAACAGTTATCGAATGGATATTAAAAGAAACAGAAGCACTAACATAGCCTACCTTTTCTCTGTCAGCAGTAGTTATTCTATATCCCCCGATTTGTTCCGTAGATGCAAATACAATTTGCCATCCATGACACGACTCAGTTTGAGATTGAGTATCTTTTACCACAATCTACCCTCGCAAAATACGAATCCGAGCTATTTTCAGACGATGAGAAAATAAAAAAATAACAAAAAAAAACTCTAAATAACATTGGAATAAAAGGGGGAAACAACAAACCTAATCAAACAAAATAAATTTTTTTTAAAAAAAAACAGAAGAGAAAACAAAGAAGGGAAATAAGAAAAATGCGATAAAACAATTAAATGCGGAAGAAAACGAATTGACTAGTTCACAAACTGAGGGCTCCAGTAATTCCACGCTGCGTCTCTGTATTCCAAACACACTGAGTGCGCTCTGCAACGGGAAACGCCGATCTATCCGTTTATTCCCAATCTGCTGCGGTTTTACTTCCTGGACTTCAACTTGCAGTAGCATCACTTACACCTGAGCGTCCGTGTGAATATACATTTGCCTTCTCTTCCTTTCGGCTTCAGCAGAACCTTTTCCATGCAGTGGCATCCGAGCTCTCGGTAAAGAACCGCCGCACTCAGTCAGGCGTCTGGATGCCCGCATTCACTGTAGAAGCGAGGAGGATAGAGGCGCGTTCACGCTCTTCTTTTTTTCAAGGGAGTTGGACGCGCGCGCTGTTCACCCTACGTCAGCCGGCGCGTGCTCCAAATAGAACGCTGGGGAAGTTCGTTCCGAATTCTCATTTGGCGATTCGATTTCGCAGCTGGGAATAAATATGTTATTATGCATTGGGTTTTTGCTTCCTTTCTACCTGCAGGTTGGAAGTGTTGTCGTCAAAAGGAGAATGAAGTGAGTAGGCAACTTGACACCAAATGAACCAAACACACGTATATGACTTGTGTTGTGGTAAATTGGACATCCCCCAGTTTCTTCATGGTCTAAATGTTTCATGGGTACAATAGTTTTTGAAGCTATGCATGGACTATTTGACAAACTGTGGTAGGCTATCAAAGAGACACCAACCATATGATTAAATGTGTTGAAGCATTACATATATTGAAGCAGCAGTTTGCAAGTTACAAAACTCAGCACTCTGGCATGGAATGATACAGCCTTTTATATCCATGAAGTAAGTTCAGTTGGTGCATCAGTCAGCATAAATTGGTCTGTAATAACCAGCATTTCTTAAGCAAAATCAGACTCTTTCATTTTGAACTGAATATTTTATGATCTGGGTGAATCATGATCATATCTGAATCTACAGTTACTGCTTATTTACTTAAACTAACCTCTTAAGTGTCACCAGCCCACAGCCATTACATAATTTATTGCCTTTTTACCCTATCAACTATTTTAGTAATCACCCTAAATTAGATATCATTTGAAAGCTTAAAAACTCCAAATTCATGCTGTGAAAACCATTTTGAAATCGGACATTGCATTACCATGGAAATGGTATTTTAAAATCTTTTGGCGGTCTCCTCCCCCTAAGTGGGCGGTGTTAAGTGTCATATTACAAAATGTATTACGGTATTTTACAATAAAACATTTTTAGAATCTTGACAAAATACATATAGTTGGAAAGGTCTGAGTCTCAAGTCTTGTGATAGAAGTAATATTTACAGAAATTTAGACATTTGTGACAGAAAAATGCATTAAAAAAATCAATGGAGTTTGGGTGTCACCCGGTGGCTGTTTGTGGTATAACGGCATAAATAAAATCTCACAGGAACCTCATTTTTTTATATCAACTTCAAATTTGGAACATAACTTATTTAGACATAAGGCTTTAATTTTATAGCATTTTTAGAGTAAAACCTGTTATGAAAAAATATTTATTTTATATAAAATAAAACAAAATTGTACATTGCATTTTTTTAAAAGTAAATTTAAACTTCTATTATTTTATGATACTTTCATATTTTGAAATTGAAAATATGAAATTGAAATGATTCCACTTCTTTAAAAATAGTCCAACCTTATGCCTGTATTCCAAAGCATTCATTAATTATAACAATTTAAGTATGGATAGTGCATGTTCAAAAATGGGGGGTGACAGGTAAGGGGTTTTTAACTTAGCAAGTATGAGTAAGATAAACTAGAAAAAACAACGGCGATTGGCCAATCAGAACTCAATATTGTAATGAACTGCGCACAAGTTTTCGTCATTTTTCACACAAAATGGTTCAAGCGCAACTTTTGACGTTCTTCAGAAAGAAGACAACAGAAGGTATGATATTTTATTGATTAGAGTTTAAAGACATTCCCCTAACATAATGTTATTGTGCTTTATGTGTGACTGTGAGGGACGGAGACAGGATACTGAGAGATGTCATAGAGTGTCACTGACTCTCAGTCCAAAAGCATTCACTGTGTGATGAAGCCTATTAGAATGCAGTTAGAATGCCCTTATAATTCAACATATAAAAGAAAAAAAAAAACCTGTGCATTAATTTTTATTTTTTATATTTATTACACCAGCAAGAGTGCTTTCCTGAATGTCAGCACGTGTGTGTAATTACAAATGTACTGTTAATTTTATATAACAGTGCAGAGCAACACTGTGGTGTTTCGTTCCTGAATTAATCTGTTTTTGAACGAATCAAGTGAGCCAATGATTGATGGTCACTTGCTTTGTTTATAATTAAATCAGCCGTTTTGAATAAATCGTTTGGTTTGAATGATTCAATTAATCATTTATTAAAACAGGGACTTGCTGCCACTCATTGGCGGGTTTATTGTCATATTTATTCATCCATAACAGGCCTAAACCAACAAAAATCTGACAAAAATCCCCCCATATCAGGCCCCATAAAGAAAACAGCTTATAAATCATAGTTCATTTAATAAAGCTCTTTTATTATTATTATTATTATTATTATTATTCAATAAAAATGTGTTTAAAAATTAGAGAAATTGTGTAATCATTGTGTAAAGTTAGCTATGGGACGCCCCCGCCCCACCAAAGACCACACCATCCCCCCCTGAATATTTTATTATAATTCAACTACTGAGTATGGTTGATTTTGAAATATGCTTGGGATTGCTGTCTATATATATTTTTGTAGATTTATGAGACATTAGTTTGTGCTATTTAATTATACTTTGTAGAATCCATTATTCTTCTGCTAATAGAATATTTTCCTGATAAAGTGTTGTTTTGTTCAAATGTTCAAGTGTTGTTTTTTGTTTGTTTTTGTTTTTCAAAACATACATGTGGTTATTATAGCCATAACATATGTTTTTTTTTTAATATTTTTTTATTATTTTTACTGAACTGTAACGAATCATCCACTGAAGGCGAGCGTAAGTGAGAACCCAAGTGCAGTTTTATTTACAGGTGATATCCAAACATCCAAACAAGAAACACAGACTTGACTTGACTTGAACAGACATAGCAGGAGCAGACATAGCAGGAGCAGACTTGACAAACAGACTAGACTCACCAACAGCGGGATAAATACATTCAATACACGACGAGGGCACAATGGGAACATGAAGAACAGACTAGACTCACCAACAGCGGGTTAAATACATTCAATACACGACGAGGGCACAATGGGAACATGAAGCTACTTATAGGAAACAAGAGGGTCACATGACAAGAACAAACCAATGGGAAACAAGACACATGACTAAGACAACCAATCAGAACATGACACAATGAACAGGGGAACCAATGGCATGAATACATGAGGGCAAGGGAAGCATGACACAAACAGGGACCATTAAAAATTACAAAATAAAAGACATGGAAAACATGAACATGAAACAAAACACCACATTACATGAACCAACCAGAGCACTTGGTTCAACAACTAAATATTTTAAATATTCAAAATTCAACAGCAACAAACATTTGTTTATTTAGAATTTAAACTCCACCGCCACTTTACTTTTGTGTGCATGCTTTAGTGCACCACTTTAATAAGGGATTGTAGGTTTTCACCATGTTTTATTTCCCTTGTAAAAGAGAGAATTTTCACACTGGTCTGCCATGCAGGTCAATTTAAACAGTTTAAAGTTAACATGAAATTAAAATAAACAATTATTATTATTATTATTATTATTCATTAATTTTTTTTATGGAATATTGCAGTGTTTATTATAAATGATTTGTCTGTGCTCTTTTTTTTTTTTATTCATGAGCCCTTGTAATGTTATTGTAATCAAAATAACTTCCCCTTCCTCTTGCAATGACATCTCTTCTCTTTCCTGATGTTGTTGTTTGTCCCGGCGTGAGGGCGGGATATCCTCTCACTCACATGAGATGGCAGCAATGGCAAACAGCAATGATCCAACAATCCAATTAATTCCAGATGGACCAAATGAAATCTTCCCTTAGGTTTTTTTTTTATCCGGCGTTCCAAACATTTCCTGAAATTTTCCCTTGGGTTTTTTTTTTTTTTTTTCTTGTTCGAGAAGCCATTTCACTCAGATATACGTCACAATAGACACAAATGCAACATCCGTTTAATGCCGGCTTTAACTCTTTGTAATTGAAATAGGAAATCTGATGTCTGATGAAATTTAGGATATTTTCCATGTATTAATAAGCTTATTTTTTTTGATTAATTAAGAATGATAATTTCTCATTTGCTCGTAAACCGTCAAATATGGTTTGAAATCAAAAGACAATTTTCGGAACATTTGCATGGTGGTATGATTAATTAATATAATGATTTGAGGCAGCATAAATGTATTTACACACGAATTACAATCACAATTACAATTTTTTGAGACAACCTAAATAGTATGCTTTATGTGGTGACATCTACCTGATTTCATGCTAGTAAAAAAAAAAAAAAGTAATTAGTCAGACTATGTCAACCTGACAAATTACATAGATGTAATTTTTATGAGTTAGATCAAGTAGAAATAACAGTTGAAGTTTACATTTTTTCTCAGTGTACATTTTGGTGTGCCACCCTAGTATTTTTACTGTGCCCCTGTGGAGGCACCACTGTCACCATCATGCTGTCCAAACCTTAAAGTGTAACTATCAACTGCTTCAATCATCTGGATTTTTGTCAGAATAGGATGATAGAGGTTGTATTTGTATGCTTTGCCACTGCATGTCTAACTTGCATCACGTCTAACAATGGTTGAGTAATTTAGGCAGTCGTGGCCTAATGGATAGAGAGTTGGACTTGTAACCCGAAGGTCGCAGGTTCGAGTCTCAGGTCCGGCAGGGATT